AAATTTTTTGATATTTGAAACTTAAAAATATTAAATTTTTTGACAGTATATATATATAATATCAATATGATATAATTCTTATTACTAAGCATTTCTGCAAGTTCGCTAAACAGGAAAAATTAATTTTATAAAGAATGTTAAGATATTTAAAACGTATTTATAAGATTTTTAGAATTGTATTTTTAGAATTTCATTTTTTAGGAACATTTCTATGGAATAGAGCATGAATATGATTTTGAAATTTTAAAAGACAAAAATTTTTTCAATTATGCCAATTTCAACAGCAATCGATATTGTCCTATACTCAAGAAAATTTATTACAAATATTGATGGATCACTTTTAAAAACAGTGGATTTCCGAGGCTAATTTAAAATTTTTTTTTTAGATTAAAGTATCAACATAATCAGAAAACTAGTTGGATGTGCAGTATCAAATATTATTAATTTTAAATTTTTAAAATTCTTAAAATGTCGTGAAGTCGGACATTCATTTGTGACAATATAAATTTTCATTAATATGTGGACTTTGTTCTTAATGGTTTAAAGTAAAACTTTGTTAATAATAAAACTTTAAATAAATCAATTTTATTACTATATTCTATTGTTATATATACTATATATCGGTTTCATGAATGGATTGGAACAAAGAGAATTATTAAAATATGTTGATTATATAATTCTTAAGATAAGGTGATATAAATATACTTTTTTTAATGGATTTATATAATTAGAGTTTAATAAACAATAACATATATAACAATAATAGCTTGTTACTTCAATTACTAAAAAATGATAATATAAAATAATAGAAAATAAAATAAATAATATAAATAAATACTAATAGAAAAAAGAATAAGAAAACATAAATATGAATATTATTTATGCTATATTTTATAAATTCAAATTATAATATTTCTTGAACGAAATTATACATTGCAAATGCATATGATACTTTCATTTACGTTGCAATATTTTGTTTATATTTTATAATGTTTCTCTTGATTTTTTAAAATATATAAATTTTAGGATTATTATGATATTTAGCTATAGATTATATATATATAATCTATAAATATATATAATCTATTAAATGTAAATTATTCCTCCTATTTATAACATTTTTCTTGAGTTTTTCATTAATCTTTTAAATATTTAAGTATTTAAATAAGTAAATTTATTTTATAAGAATATTAAAAATTTATTTTATAAGAATATTAAAAATACGATATAACACACACACACACACACACGCGCACACACATACACACACAAAGATTTTCAATAATACATATATTATACTTATTATACATATTATATACTTATTATTATAATAAGTATATAATATATAAATAGAGTTAATATTTTAAATATTGTTCACAGATAAATGATTTTCTTCTGCTTAACATAATTTTCGAAATATTTGCAATAATGATACATTAAAGCCTATAAATTAACTACGTTTTATTTGTAAAAATTTTCTACTCTAATAAATTTTTTAACTCTAGTATAATTTATAATTTTCTTGTCAGCAAACAGTTACATCTTTTATTTATATTTGGCATGTCATTTTCATTACAGTTCTCCACTCTGCACGATTAATATTTCCATTCTTTTACAATAAATAATTGATATATTTGTAATAAGAAATATGTTATTTTTATATAAAAAAAATTATATTTATATACTCATATACATAATGCAGGTAGAAAAGGAGAAATGAGAAAAAAAGAGAAATGTAAGAAAAGAAAGTTGAGTAAATTTTTTATATCTTATTTTTTGTTTGTTGCAAGAAATACGAAATTATTCTTGCAAAGATTTCAAAACTTTGTAGCATATTGTAATTGGTTTTTAATTGAAAGTATTGAGATAAAAATTGTAGTAATTCAAGGATTAAACTATTTCTAAAAATTTCTTGTATTCTGGTTCAATTTTTAGTTTTTCCTGACGAAAAACGGTGGCTGTACTAATCGATAATATAAAAAAAATTTTAATTGCCAAACTTTTTTTTAAACTATATTTAACAATCATAATAATTATATAAATATTTTAAATGTATCTAAACTAAATAAAGTAATAAAACCATTAAAGTTTTTTTTAAATTTGAAAATATGAAAATTGTTTTTGTATTATTATATATATATTTTAAAATAATTTATTATCGATAAATATTTTTATTAAAAAATTATTGTTATTATTATAATATTTTTTAATATATATTTTTCAATTTTTGCAATATAGAAAGATAAATATGGAAGAGATTTTAAAAAATATAAACGCTTATACAATAAAATCGAAGAAAAATCAAAATATTTTTAATTTTTTAATTTAATTGAATTATTGAACAGACTAAAAGAAGTTTTCTAATCTTTAAACTAGCAAAAACTTTTTCAAATTTTGAATTTTTTTCGAATCTCGAACTAATCGTAATAATTTAATTTTGTGAACTTATATATTTAATGACATACGTAAACTTTCATTTGCATATAGACTTACGTTGAATGTTTAAATATTAAATAATCAGAGTAATAGAATTTAATAAATCAATTTTTAATAAATTTTTATTATTATATACCATAATTCTATAAATATAGCTGAAGCTATATCTTCATTTTTACCACTCTCAGAAACAGACAATATATGTTTCATTAAATAGTTTCCTAATTTTTCCATATAAATTTGACAAAACTTTTATTTTATTAAAAAAACAAATTATAAAAATTAATTACAAAGATCTTATTTTAATTAGAATTCAATATACTATACTTCATGCCTCAGTGAGATATTTTAATATCGATTCATACTGTAGCTTATTTTCCTGCTAAAACATTTTTATCGTCAATTTTATAAAAATTCGATTCCGATGGAGTATTTCTTATCAAAAATCGACCATTATTCGTATACACAAAACATACGTTTTCGCAATATGTAATATCCGATTCCTCGTAGCTAGAATTTCATTTATTCAAGAACGAACAAAATAGAAGAAATGAAACATTGGTCAGCATAATAAAGGGAATCAAGCTTCAAGGTAAAATATATATCGGAAAATTATAATAATGCACATTTTCAAAAAAGAAAAATTATATTCAAAAAAGCAATTACTTGGCAATGGACTTGATTAGATTAGTCTTCCGTATTGCATTCCTATTACAATGCCCAAAATTCTTATAAAATTATCATATTTTTTGATAATATATTATAATTATTCTATACATATGATAAATATATATCAAAACATCAATAGTAATATTTATTAAAAAAAATATTTATTTAAAAAATAAATCTAACTATCTATATCTATCATAAAAAATGTCCAACTGCCGAAGCGTTTCAGACGTGTCGACTGCTCCATTCGCATGTATAGGAAATAAGTAGTAAAATAGTGTAGGAAATAATGAAGCCGTGTGAAACTAAGATAGTCTATAATTTTTTTTTTATTTTGAATGAAAACAACTTCGAAAATATGTTATGATTACATCATAGTCAAAAAAGGTGATCTTCTGATTACAGGAATCTCTTATCTAATAACATCAATAAGAAGAATTTAAACGACAATCAAGCTATTGAATTAATTAAATCTTATATCTTTGAAATGAAATCCGAAATTTTCTCGACTAAAGACCAAACAATAATATTACCAGTCATCGAGGACATTACAATTAAAGAATACGTCTATGTCTTAGGTCCAAAAGCTATTCATTTAAAAAATTTCAAATGGCAAAGTGTGCATTTACTTAGACAAGAAAGACATGATAATAACACTCAGAGAAACAATGAAATATATAATAATTAATGATAATAAAATCGAAATAAGATCAATGACTCCAATATAGCGAATCATTCTTTCTAATGTATCATCAATCATTTTAAACTCAATAATAGAATCCATATTTAAAATAAAAATAATATATGATAAATAATATGTGTTTTAAAATAATATTACAGAATAATTGAACCTGAATACTCGCATATAATGAGCTTTCGAAGATAGATATATGTCAATCCAGAAAACCATCCTTTATTAAAGAAATATAATATTCAGAATAGAATCATTAAACTGAAACGCGAAAAATTGAAAGATCCAGATTTACAAGTCTCAGAAAATTGATCATCGGAAATTGACTTCGACATTTAAATATAATTGCAGTATTAAATAACTTTATAACTCTAAAACAAATTTTAACTATTATGATCAACATATTGCAGTGGAACACGAACGGTTTTCTGATTCTAATCATGCCAGTGGTAATGTTATTACTTACATCAAGACAATGTTCCATAAGTTTTTTTCTTTTTTTTTAATTCGAAATGAATACATAATATTTGTTTAAGGTTGATTTATTGTGTTAGATATGAATTACGTTAGATATTGTGTTCTCTATTAATTTCTTCCATCTCTCAGGAAACCTCATTATTTCTTTTTCCAAAATTGTTGAAGTTTACTTGCAAAATATTCCATAAAGTGCGTTTTTATTTCGTTTACGGATTGGAATCGTTTATCATGGAGAAAATTTTTTTAATAATAGGAACAAGTAATAGTTGGATCTGAAAAATACAGAAGATGCGATAGAATGTCTCAATCAAAATGTAATAGCTTTTCTTTTATAGTCAATGCAACATACGATTTTGCATTGTGATGGCCTCGTCGGTTCGCCAATTTTAGCCGTTTTTTTGCTATAGCGTCTTTCAATTTATTAAACTGATTGCAATATTTTCCAAAATTAATGGTTTCATCTTGAAAAAGGAATTCATAGTAGACAACACCTTTCCAATCCCACCAAATGAATAAAAGAACTTTCTTCGAGTGAAGTCCAGATTTCGAGACAGTTGAAGGTCTATTGTCCTTAAATCAAGTACGTTTTCGATGCACATTTTGATACAAAATCCAAGTCTTGTCTCCAATGTCTCTTTAAAAAAGGATTTCTTTTATGTCGCTGGAGAAAAAAATCGCACATAGAGACGAAGTTCATAAAGTTGGTCTCTATCATTAACTGTGAAATCTAAATTTCACATTGATTGATATATCCCATTTTAGTCAGCTGATTATGATTATCTATTGTTTTTCTAGAAATATTAATAGCATCCACTATTTTTTGCACATTATATCGCGGATTTTCAGCGAATATGGCCTTAATGAAGTCTATATTCATCATTGCTGGGTGGCCGCTGCGATCTTCATCTTTCAAGTCAAAATTGTCAGTTCTAAATCTTTTAAACCAATTACGAATAATCGTAATAGTTGTAGCACCACTCTCGTAAATAGTACAAATCTCGTCTGCAATATTATTTGCACTATCACCTTTTTTAAAGCAATAAAGCACAATATGCCGCAAATGTTTCTTTTGGCTATTGATATTGAACGATGTAAAAAAAAGTCATTCCTAGCGTGGTGCAAAAGAAATTTATGGAACACCCTAATAATAATTACAGAGATATAATTTCAAATAAATATTAAAATCGTTGCTTATATTTATTTAGCACGATAACTTTATATTAATTTACATCTTAACTAAATTATGCATATATAATATGTACCTCCTAAATAGCTATAATTTTCTTGTAAGTAAAATTAAAGATCTCATCGAGCAACTATCTAAACCATTCTTGCAAATTTTAATAGCCATAATACATTATGAGACTCGGATCTACAAAATCTTCCTACATACTTTAATGTAGCAAATGGCACCTTCATTTACATCTATTACTAATAAATAATCTATCGATTAATAGCTTTGCTCATAATTATGAATGGATAGTACTAGACGACCTACATGACAGCGATCATTTTTCAATCACTGTATAAGTAACCAACCTCCGTAATATCAATATGTCAACTCATTTATTTTCAAATGGAAATTCTACAAAGCTGATTAGAATGAAATGTACAAATAATGGGTTCACAAATATATTGAATAACATCTTTACTATCCTGGAAGAAAATAATGCTTATATAGATACTGTAACAGATACTTTTTCTAATATTATTATTAAAGCAGCTGAAGAAGCCATCGGATTAAGTTTCTCAAACCAATTCCTTGATGGAATAATAAATATAAAGAAGCCATTTGAAATCAAAATAAACCTTCAATTATTTTAAAAAATACAAATTAGAAGAAAATAAGATAAAATTTAAAAAAAGAGTGAGCGATTTTTAGAATTATTAAAAATTTTGAATTATTAAAAAAAGTAAGAAAAACAGCTGAATGTATTATCACTAACGAACAGTGCAAATATCAAAGAAGTATGAAATAAAATTAATACAAGCAGAGGCAATTGGAAAAACAGTTAAATACACTTTATCACAAATAATTATAGCGACATTACTACTGATTCAAATGAAATTGCAAAATTGCAAAATATCCTAGCTACCATCTTCGCAAAAAACTAGCTTTTTCAATTATAATGAAAAATTTAGAATATACAAACTAATTCAAGAAACAAGTAAAATCACTGAAATTAATGATACCAGTCATTCATATCTTAACAATCTTATCTCAGGAAAGAAACTTGAAGAAGTACTAAGAAATATTACAAACTCTAGCTCAGGATCTGATAACATTCCGAACGAATTAATTAAACAATTGCCAACTATTGGATATAAGACATTACTCATTCAATTGCATATGAATTAATAAAATAATTCCTATAAAATGGGATGAAGCCATAGTTATACCAATATTGAAGCATAGCAAGGACTCATCCAAATTTGAAAGTTATAAACCTATTGCTCTCACATCTATGCAAAATACTAGAATTGTGAACTTAGGTTTAAATAGTTTCTCGAATATAACAAACTTATTGCTAACAATCAATTTGGATTTCGAAATAGTCATTTTACATTTCATTTAATTAGTTTAGAAACACATATACAAAAAGCATTCAACATATAAACAGCATGTCCTTACCATTAGTCTCTTAGATATCGAAAAAACCTATGACATGGTTTGGAAACACTACATTTTAATCAAATTCCAGGAGCTAGGAATCACTGGAAATTTGTAACATTTCATTAAAAATTTTATTTATAATAAAAACATTTAAGTTCGTGTTAATGGTATCCTTTCAAGAAAAAATTGAAAACGGAGTGCCATAAGAATCTGTAATTAGTGCTACATTATTTTTAATAGCTATTAATGATGCGTGTAAAATTTTTATAATCCCAGTATTTTAAGAGTATTTGATGATATCACAATTCTGTGTAAAGGAAAACACATTATCACTTTTCAACAAACTGTTCAATCATGCTTAATAAATTGTATAACTGATTTCTGAAAACGAGTTTTAAGTTCTAAAAAATATTATAAAACTATGAATGCATACTTTTCATTACATCATGAAGTACATATTCCTATATTAAATCTTGGAAATAATGCATTAAAATACTTGGAGTATATTTTGTTCCATAAACTTATATAGAATAAACATATTAGCAATTTGACTGATAACTTCAAGCGAAGATTAAATATTATCAAATCTTTAGCACATAATAAATGGAAAACTGATAAAGGTATCCTACTATAGAAATACTTATAAAGCGATTACTAGAATCAAAATTGATTATGCATCTATAATTTACAACTCTGTCAAACCAGGAATTTTAAAAAAAACTAGATCCAATTCATAATACAGAACTAAAGAATAGCAACAAGATCATTTCACACAATTGGAAGCATACTAATTAAAGCTGAAGAGCCATCCCTATAATATAGGAGAAAATTATTAAATTTAAAATACGTAATAACAGTAGCAACATCTTCCAAGCATATTTTCAAACATTTACTGAAACAGTTGAATTAAAGCAAAGGACAAATCAAGGAACAGTATTTTACCAAAGAGTTAATAAATATTTAGAAGAAAAATAAAATAAACTTCAATGCCATCTTCTGCCATGGAAAAATACAAAATCCATAAAATCTTTCCCTGGATACTTAACTCTTTGTGCTCCAACGGTGACTCTCAGGTATTATGTGAGTTAATGCTGTAACTCAAGCGGTGACTCTCCGGCACCATTCGGTTTGATGCAGAGATTCGACCGGCGACAATATTTATTTATGTTTGATTTTTTAGAATATCGCTTCATAAATAGGTTCCTAAGTTCATTACATATAATTTTATGAGGTAATATAGAATAATATAGAATAATATATTGTCAATAGCTAAATTTTATATCTCAAATTAGACCGTGATTGCGGGTCAGACGATTTTCAGCGTTAGTTTGAATTTGATAGTCGTGACAATAGAAATATTATTTTCAAAATTTTTGTAATGGAATATGATAATGAAATTAGTTCAAATGAAGATGAGTTTTTGATTATTGAATCAAACGAAATTAATAAAGAAATTAACTATAGAGAAAGCAATGATGAACATGGAAATGAAATAAGAGATATAAAAAGGCGAAAAATAAGAATAATAGATAGAGAATATGAAAACAATAATTTAAGTGAATACATCGCATCGTAGAAGATACAAAATTCGAAATATGGATAACATGCACAGAATCGGAAAATATATCGCAAAAAATACAATTTATAAAAAAATCTGCAGGACCGGAAGTATCTTCGAATATAAATGAACCATTAGATTTTTTTAAATTATTTCTAATTGATGAAATTATTAATGAAATAGTGAGCGAAACAAATAATTATGCAATAAAAAAGTTAGAAAAAAAAGTATTATTGCTCTACTTGCTCTGGCAAATTGAGAATACATCTTGGTAATTGTTTCATAAAATATCACAAAATAATAATACAGACTTTATTAATTATATTTATTAATATTCAATAAATTTTGTTTCTTTATATGTAAAGATACATAAAATATTAAAATATAAAATTTTATGCGTTAATTTGTGTGAAATCATTTTAAATTAGCTGTAAGAAAACAGCGAACGTGCAGATCCGAATCATTTAGAATTGCTGGTTCGAGCGAAAAAGATTTGGAGCACAAAGGATTAAGATACTCTCTATTGATTTAACATCAGTAGCACAAAGATGAAAAATTATCCAACTTCGAAAAATATATTTAACAACTTATGTTTTAAATATCATACTTTACTCATCTATGCAGTGATGTCTCCAAAAATAAAAAGTATGAAACGGAGCTACTTTCTTCTTCCAAAATATTTCAATTAGGTACAGTCTGAACATTTTTAATTGTGCTCGTTCGATTGAAACATTTACACTCTTCCTAATCCTCAAATTTATTGATAATGATTAGATCACTCTAACTATATCATATTTTTTGATTCCTTTGCGACACTTCTACATACTCAAAAAACTAAGCAATCGACAGAAATCTACATAGACATATAAGAGTTATTCAACAAAAGATTTTAGTTAGTTATTCAACAAAAGAACGATAAAACAATAGTATGGATTCCATTCCATAAAAATAACTACGCAAATACAATAGACAATATTGAAGCAAAAATAATAGCTATTCTTAAAACAAACAGTCAATCTATTTATAATACACATCCGAACATCAACAAACACGTAGAAATATTATTAAAACAGTTCTGGATCGCAATGTGGAAAACATATAAAGCAAGCCCGCTTCACAAATCTATCGAAAATTTCTTCGATCTACAAACGAACTCAAAATTCAAAAGAACAGCAAATGATAATAAGAATCAAAATCGGACACAGCAAACTCTTTCATTTATATCTACTCAACAGAAGTCAACCAATAATATGCAAAAAATGCAAAAATAGCATCCGTATCATCAACCACATCATCCTTAACTTCATCCTTGATTAATTATAATGAAATTATGAAGAAGTAATACGAGTATTGATAATAGTTTTAATGAAACCAACTCATTCACACGATTATTAAGATATCCTAGTGAGATTCTGCAAGAGTATCAAGATTTTTACCAAATTGTAGTAATTTTGTAAATTTTTGTAAATCGATAATAATCTACGATGTTAAATTATGCGACATTAAATTTATTAAATAAAAAAAAATAATTTGTTAAATTAGTATATTTAAATTTTTAAACCGTTATTTGACTATATATTTTATTTATAATGAATTAAAAATTACGATACCAATCTATAAATTATTTATTGTTTTATCGCATGTTGTTTAAATGTTGTTCATTATTTATATTAAATAATATTGTTCATATTATTTATATTAAATAAATTTTAATTATTACGAAAATCGATCAATTTTAAATTATTTAAAATTTTTTGTAGGTAGGGTGAAATAAATCTAGAATTGAACAATTCTATTTATCCTAATAAATTATCCATATAAATTTTATGAATAAAAAATTGCTAAAATCTTATTAATCTTATTATTAAAAAAATATTATTAATCATTTTTTTTTAAAAAGAAATACATATATTTTGAAAATATGTTTGGATAAAAAAAATTGTGTGCAATTAATTTTTTAAAAGAAATTTAATTATTAATCTGAAATTAAATTTGAAATACTTTCAAAATAAGTATTGCCCCGAAGAAATATGATATTTATTTATATAAAAAATTAAAGATATTAAAAGAAAATATAATAATATATTTTATATTGTTATTTTTTTAAAAAAATATCTGATAAAAAATAAATAAAAAGTGCTATTAAAATTCTAACTCTTATTCGTATTAGCGATTTAATAGAGTATGAATATTGAAATTTATTCAATATGAATGAATACGTGGATTAGCAGATGTACTTTATTTTTA